CAAAAGAAAAATTTACACAAAAAATTTTGTAGGAATCTACTATTATCCAAAAAAAAAAAATAAATTTTATTAGATGATTCTTGATTATTATAATTTATAAAAAAAAAAAAAATTCGCAGCAATTTCAAATTATATTTAATATTATAAATATAATTTATTTTATTATATATAATTATATTTATATTTAATTATAAATTTTATATTATTTTTACATATATTATATTAAATACATAACATTACAATATATAATATTACATATATTATATTAAATTATAATTTTTATATTATAAAAATTATACAAAATTATAATTTAATGTAATATTATAAATATTCCAACAAAAAAAAATATATTTTTTTTTTAATTTCGTAGGAATCTACTATTACCCAAAAGAAAAAAACAACAACAATTTTATTCGCTTATTCTCAATAATTATTAAAAAAATAATAAATAATCTTTAAAAATACCCCCAAAAAAAATCATTAAAAAATTAAATAAAAAAATATTTGTAACCTATTATTCCAACAAAATGTTCAAATCTAATATAAAATATTATCATCCCATTAGGTTAAATCAAAGAACAATCCAACAATTCGAAAATGTCGTACGAAAATTGAAAAAATAATAGAAAAGCAAAAGGAGGAGAAATTGGATAATGCTGAATTGATTGAAATTAATCATAAAATTTCGACTGACTCTAATAAAAATGACGATGAACAAATATATCCAATATCATCGAAAAAATGTGAGAATAAAATTGAAGAAAATATAATCACCAATTTAAAAAATGATAATTCAGTTGAATTAAATACACGAATGGAAACTAACGAAGAATCATTAAACGTACAGATAGAAAGGCGTTGTTCGAATTCTTCGGAGGATTACGAAAAAGTCGATTTTAAAAGTCAATGTTACCACCACCACCACCACCATCACCATCACCATCACCATCAACAACAACAACCAATGATTGTCATGACAAAACGTGACCATGATATCAATGAGAGCTTTCACCATGATAAAAGTTTCATCGTGGAAAGATCTCAAATAAATTACGATTGTAAAACCAAATCGTTTTCCAGTGATGATGATGATGACGACGATGATCAAAATAGTTGGAAAAATAATAATAATAAAAAAAAGAAGAAAAAAAAGAAGAAACATTTCGCTAGAAAAGTGTTGCATTATGTTCCAGGATATCGTTCAGGTAAAAAACGTCAAAAACAATCAACAAAAAAGAAGAAAAAAACGAAACATCATCAACGTTTTACCACAAATTTCTTAGATTCTCAAAAAACTTTGAGAACAGATGACGATGATAATGATGACGATGAAATGTCAAGTATCGAAAATCATTTTGATTCATTTTCACGATCAAAGAGTCATTCGAAATGTGATTTAAAGTGCATCATGATTTCTGAACCATCTAATTTTGTTCATGTTGCTTCTGCTACCAATTCACGTTTGATGTTCAATGAAAATCTCATTGGTACGAAATTGGAACAAAATGTTATAACTCATGAAGAAAAATCAGCTAATTTGCCTTTACTATTACATGGAAAAGAAGTTAGTAATAATAATAATAATAATAATAATAATAATAATCGAATGATGACCAATGAAGAAACAACTATGGAAAGTATGGAAAGTACGTATCGTTGTGATTTCTATCTACGATACAACAACGAATGTGAAAATGAGCTTTCTTTTACCAAAGTTGCTCTTACATTTCATTTCTTTAGTTTTGTTTTTTGTATTTTTTTTTTATTTTTATTTTTGTCATAGATAAAAATATAGGTAATAGAACGTCTTATGTGGAAATAAAAAGACCATCATCTTTAAATGGAAGTGAAAAATCTACAAGAGAACATGTGGATTGTCAGCAATCGGTGAAAACTCAATTGAAAAATGACGAGACGAGAATTTCTTACGAGCCAATATTACAAACTAATGTTAGTTTTCTTTGGAGTGATCGAACGAGAAGTTACTTGGACAAGAACGAACATACCAGACTTTCTTTTTCGCATATAAAAAAAAAGGACGAAGAAACTTACGACGATGTGGGACCACCACCACCACCACCACCACAACAACAACAACAACAAGCTGAAGTTTGTTCTTTGGTTTCTTGTTCACAGGTATCTCACGCTATTTTCTTTTTCTTAATTCTAATTTTTACAATTATTTAGAATGACAGATTTTACATAAATAATATGACAATATTTATATAATATTATATATAACAATATTTATACAAATTAAAGAAGTTTTAAACACAAATTTCTATTTTTTTAATCTTCATTAGAAAGAAGAATCTTATTTTTATATTTTTTATTGGAATTGTACCAATAATAAATTCTACAAACACAAATTCCTATTTTTTTTAATGTTCATTAGAAAGAAGAACCTTATTTTTACATTTTTTATCAAAGTTATACAGTTCACAAACAAACTCCTATTTTTTAATCTTCATTAGGAAGAATATATCCTTATTTTTATATTTTTTTATTATAATTATACCAATAATAAATTCTATAAATACAAATTCCTATTTTTTAATCTTCATTAAGAACAAGAATCCTATTTTTACATTTTTTATCAAAGTTATACAGTTCACAAACAAACTCCTATTTTTTAATCTTCATTAGGAAGAATATAACCTTATTTTTATATTTTTTTTATCATAATTGTACCAATAATAAATTCTATAAATACAAATTCCTATTTTTTAATCTTCATTGAGAACAATAATCTTATTTTTACATTTTTTTATCAGAATTGTACCAATAACAAATTTTACAAACACAAATTCCTATTTTTGAATCTTCACTAGAAAGAAAAATCTTATTTTTACATTTTTTTTTATCAGAATTGTACCAATAACAAATTTTACAAACACAAATTCCTATTTCTGAATCTTCATTAAGAACAAGAATCTTCTTTTTACATTTTTTACCAAAATTATACAGTTTAAAAACAAATTCCTATTTTTTATCTTCACTAGAAAGAAAAATCTTATTTTTACATTTTTTTTATCATAATCTTACCAATAACAATTTCTACAAACACAAATTCCTATTTTTTAATCTTCATTAAGAACAAGAATCCTATTTTTACATTTTTTATCAAAGTTATACAGTTTACAAACAAATTCCAATTTCTTATCTTAGGAAGAAGAGAATTACGACGATGTAGGACCACCAGCAGAAAGAAATAATTTACAATTAACTGAAAAATCAAATGAAACAACTGACGATACATACGACGATGTTCTGACGCCATTTTTCAATACGACCGAAGATGAATTTCAAACGTTATTAGAAAAAAATGAAGAAAATGAAGAAAATTTGTTAATAAACAATGATTATTCAAGTGTGGAAGATGCAAACGATGAACGGGACATTTACGATGACGTTGCATGTCCTCCTATTGGGGAGGAACGAGTCAACAGTCTCTATGGGGAATCCATGGGTGCTTCTCTTCTTGGATCTTCGATCCTGGCAATTAGCAAGGAATCTGAGTGGGAGGACGTTGACGATTTAACCAATCCATTGACACCTCCTTCTTGTCTCTGCCAAGGACATGATTGCACATGGTAAAATATCACTGATCTTCATTCAAAGATCAAAATGTTAAGAAGTGGTGTCAAAAGAATCGTTTCATGGTTTTTTTCAGTGATAATAATGGCGAACAACGGTTTAACAATACATGGAGTAAAAAGAAAATTGGACAACGTTCTGGCAAAAAATGGAAAAGACGTCGTTCGAAAAGAAGGAAAAACTCGGCATGTTCATCCTCATCAATTTCCACTACTCAACTAATTCATCGCGATTCTTCTAACGTTCATGGTAAGTTTACAGAGAAAATAAATATCGCATTTTACAGTTTTACGCAATGATAGATCTGTATATTTACAGTCTGCACTATAAAATACGTCTTGCAGTTATTGGATATGCATAAGTCCCAACATGTTCTTTCTCTTTCTTTTGTTTCATTGTCCTTAGTTGCATCACATCAGGTTGACTACTACTGTTACTCATATTTAGCCCAGTTATTACATTGTTCAATTATCATAACTATACGAAACAAAACAAAAAATACACATATTGGTATGCGTATGTTTGTGTAGATGTAATAAAATCAACAAGAAAGAAAGAGAGAGAGAGAGAGAGAGAGAGAAAAAAAAAAGTAGGCCACTAATATAACCCAAATATGAAATATTAATGCATATGATAAATTGGTGCAAAAATTTGAACGAAGTAAAGAGATAAAAGCGCAGAAGCGCAGAGTGGAAAACGTAAGTAGTCGATTGGTCCGGTGTAGAAGGTGAAAGCGCTTCTTGTGCGCTCTCATTGTCAGTCACGGCTGAACCGGGTTCTGCATCGCGAGAGGTTTTCGATATTTCTCCTTGTCTTTGTGCTGGCTTGCCAACAGTCTGTTTTACGTGTTTCTTTTTGTTTCCATTTCGTTTCGTTTCATTTCGTTTCGTTTCGTTTCATCGTTTCATTCGTGTTTGATATACAATTCTTGTGTTACAATAGAAATACATACATACATATATACATACATACAAACAAAGATAGTAATTTAAACTATTTTCTAAATATATAACTGTTTTCTTCTAATTTCAATTGTAATTCGTGAAAGTTGGAAATTTCAAAATGTCGTGGAAATGAGACAGAGTCTAAGGACGCTCTCACGACGGCCAAACACGCAAGGTAAGAAAGCCGTGTGAGAGGAGAATGTGACGAAGTTCTATTCCTCTCTCTCTCTCTCTCTCTCTTTCTTTCTTTCTTTCTCAATTCCACTCTTTCTTCCTTCTCAATATTCCTCGACGAATGAATTCTTCGATGTACTCTTCCCTCTTGCTAAACTTTCTCGTTGCTGTATGGTCCCTAAAATATTTTCAATATTTTCACATTAGTAAAAATAAATGCATGTAACATTACAAACAAAACAAAACAAAAACTATTAGTAGTAATACAGTAATCATAGAAAACTTAATTGCAAAGGTCAGGGTTTCTCTTCGTGGAGTTCCGTGTGATGGTTATATAGTGACCTTGACACGCCTCCAATAAGAATTATAATGAAAAATTATCGAGTATACCATTCCTGGGATTCTTTGTTCTCTTTCTGTCCTCTTCTTTGTTCTTCTTTAACTGGAAAAAAACAAAACACACATAAAAAAGTAATCGTAGGTGGTTCGTCATGGAACCTTAACAACTATGAAAAAAGATTTGACCTTGAACGAATGATTTTTAAGTGGCCATCACCGGTTCAGCACTGTTACTGGTCAATCATTCGGATAAAAAGGAAGAAGAATGGAAATCATCGGGAAATTTGCAATTGGACGGCGAGTCTGTTCGTTCAAAAAGCCAAGGACTCGTCCAAATGAGACTCGTGGATCTTGACGAGGACATGGATGTACAGGAAACATCTTGTTACGTTCACGAAGGTTTCTTCAAGCATTTTCTTCTTCTTCTTCTTCTCTTCTTCTTCTTCTACACAACATGCATACGCATACTTTTGAATTAAACGTTTGAGACTGGGCCCATTTATTATTTAACATCAACATGTTAAACATTTAATTAATCTTTCGTGATGTATTATAAATATAAAAAAAATTAACAATTATTGTATGATTTTTATTTACAAAACAGAAAGTGCATCAGAAGACAGTACGTATGAGAGTCTTCGTTTTTGTCAACCGGATGATTTCAATACAGACTCGGATGGTGAAACTGCAAGTGGCCTTGAAAACAGACCCGATTGTAATACCGATGATAGATGTGAAAATATTATTGTTAATAATAATTTGGAGGCACCAGCTAAACCAATACCACCACCTCCAAGAGAATCTAGTCTGACTGAAACTTTGGGTAAAAGAATTAAAATGTTAAGAAGAACTTGGAGCATCACCAAGGGTAGTCTTGGTAGAATTAGAAGAAGAACGTTTGTTGAGGATGATCAAATTTCTGAAGAAAACAAAGATCTTACAAATGAACACCATCATCAACATCAGCAGCAGCAGCAACAACTACAGGACAATGGAAAATATTTTAGTTTTAGAAAACATTTCAGAAAAAATCTTTCTAATTTTTCAACATTTTACTTAAACGATAGTAATGGTAACTGTACACCAAGAAATAATATTAATAATAATAATAATAATAATAATAATGGTGGTACCAATAAAGAAGCCATTTATGGAAATACCAATTGGTATACGAAAAACAACGATTACGAATCTTCCTCGCAATTTTATAAAACAGACGTCGGTAAGTTAGAACTCTACTATGTGTTAATAAAAATGTACAAATTTTGAAAATGATTTATACATGTATTTTGTTAGATCATTATAGTGTTTTGGCAGATCAAGAACCTTTGTATCAATTTTATGCTGCTGCTGTTAACAGTGTGGCTTTCCAATCAGATTCTGACGGATACGAGCAAGTAAAATACAAAGATTTTTTTTATATTTATCTATGTACTGAAATATTTAAACAAATATAAATTATGTAATATAAATTACCTTATTTTTACAGGTTGAAGATTTGAATCCTCCTCCACTTGCTACAGATTTTGTAAAACCAGGACACCGAACATTGTGGTGTCAAACACCACAAGTTGTACGCAGTGGACTCTTACGTAAATATTTCATATAAAAATATAATTGTTATTATTTAAACAATTAGAAAAAGAATAGTAAACTTTTGTAACATTTTTTAGAGAGATTAACACCAGAAGAAAAAAAAATACAAGAAGCTAAATTTGAAATTCTTACATCGGAAGCTTCCTATTTGAATTCTCTTCGAGTCCTTGACAATGAATTTTTGCGTAATCACGAATTAATACATGAAATTTTAACACCTTCCGAGAAAGAGAAATTATTTGGTGGTGTACCTGGTGTTATTAAAGCATCTGAAAGATTATTGGCTGATCTGGAAACAATATGGAAGGAAGATCTTACTTTACATAATTTACCTGATATTTTACTTAAACATTCTGAACAATATTTAGATATATTCGTTGGATATTGTTCTAATCAAATTAAAATAGATATGACGTTGAAAGAATTAAGGTAATCATAACAATATCTAATTTAATATTATGAACATATCTTTGAAAATATAAGTTAATATTATTTTTTGATTTTTTTTTTTTTCAAAACACAAGAGCAAAAAGAGGATCCAAATTTGTAGAAGTTGTCACACAAATAGAATCCCGTCCTGAATGTCAAAGCTTGCCACTAAATTCATTTCTAATGTTACCAATGCAACGAATTACAAGGTAAAACATTTAAGAATAACTAAAATGTATTAATTTAGAAACAAATATGATAAATAAAACATTAATTTAGGATCCTAATTAGAACAACTAACTTTTAGATATTTTTAAGATAAAAGTAAATACAACAAATAC